TTGAGCGCACAGTATCAACAGCGGCACCCTGGCACACACCAGCCACAGCGGCCCCGTCAGCAGGAGAAACAGGTGAGCCGTCGCAATCTTCATCGTCCGCATCTCGATTGAAGAAAAAACTAGGCGGCGTAACACTATATCTGCATGAGGCCGCTATGAGGGAAAGACAGCTTGTAGTTAGGCTCATCGTATTCGTTCTCCTGCCTCTCGTACTTTTATATTTTTTTTATTTTAGACTTTTTTTTTAGGTCTACGGGCTTGTTTTGAATAACAAGGAAGAGCTACGAAGGGGCGGGTTTGACGGTGCCATTTTTGAAGCAATCTAGGTTATCTAATGAGCAATGAAGAGAGAGAAATCTAGATTGCATTTTAATGATTCGCGTTTGAGACGAAAGACAATAGAAGAGGAGAGAGAGTTGGTGGGAGTGAAGGTAATGCGACTCTTTAGCGTGCGAAAGAGGTCTGGCACCGGTGACCCAGGCGCCAGGGAAGCGCGCGCGCCAAATGGCTCGCAATCGACTGAGCCGGAAAAAACGAATAACATGAAAACTGTGGGTTTCCGTGCTTCTAATGGGGTCTTGGTGTTATATGACTGTTTGGACGTCCGGACAAAGGGGAACGAACACGGTAACAATTAAGACGTTATGTGTAAGAGGTTGACCTTTACACAGCGTGAAAGTAAGTTTGAGTTTTCCAGGGCAGCTGAGTCAGGCTTTCTGCTATGGCGGATTTGATCGGCCACCGCGCTGGGCGTCGAGCCCCGCGTTTCCACCAGGCTTGTGGAAAACGCTTTTTTTCGACGTCTACTCCAGCGAGTATTGCTCCTCATTCGAGTTCTGGACAAAGCTAGGCAGGCGTATCCCATTGGGCGATCCAGAGCACAACTAAAATTTGCGTGGAGTTCAGGACATCCGAATATTGTTCACGCTATTTTCGTGAAAGTATGGCATTTAGAAAACGAAAATAGGAGTATCGGTTTCCTGACAACCAAATGAAAATATTTTGTTAGCAAATTTGTCAACCCGCATTTATTTTTAATGCGATAGCATCATTAAGCCAACCCAAGGTTTTCAGCAAGGGTATTTACTGGCCTCGAGCAGTAATTTCCCGCTAAATTCTGCGGAACATTAACGTAGCGTGTCCTATGCACGAATTCAGTTTCCCTGCTAAATTTAGCTGGTAACCGAACACTTGCCTGTGTGTGCACCGATAAATTTTATCGCATTCATAAAAAAATCACCCCTGTGGTTTCTACGAATTTGCCTCCACTGTCAATATCTTTTTTTTTTTTTTATAATGGCACTGTTTTAGGTTGTTTGTTTCTTTGAAATTTCCGCGAGGTTTAAATGGTTTTTGCACCACTGTTCTTGCCTTGAAAATGCAAAAATATCTTGGCTGCTTTTTGATTCTTTTTTTTTTTTTTTTGGTTTTGGTGATACGGATATATAACTAAGGGTCTTAAGATGTTATTTTTCCAGAGCCTTCGTCTCCTGGCAGAAAAAAAAGAAAACTCTCGACGATGCCTTTTAATTAGATTTGTGAATCAGTATGAGAGGAGTCCCTTATTTGTGCAAACCAGAATTTACGTGTGCGGTATAGACGCACAGAGGTTGCGACGGTGAGGCTTGGAACTGCACTCCACTTTTCAAAATGTGTTCCGCTTACGAACTTATATCGACTAATGAGATTGATTAATATCTCTATTTTTTAATACCACGGTCTCTCGCAGTTAACTGACATCGTTTTCCGAAGAAAATCCCGGCATTTACCGTCGCTACGAACTTCAATATAGCTCTATTTTTTTTTTTAATTTGAAAAAAAAAAAGTGGTTGTAGGAGATCATAAAACAAACAGCAAGGTAAAAACGAATTCTCGAATGAAATTCGGTTCCCACAACTATCAGCAAAACAGAGCTATCATGCTTATTCGTATTCGGTGGAAGATTAAATTTCCCTCCAGGCAAAAACCTATTATTATACGAAACATTCATGCTAAAGCTAGCTTATTAAAATGGGAACCCATTTTTGTGAAAGAAGGGATCGCTTTCTCACGGTACTCCCGAATCCCGAAAATGTGCATCCGTTTTTCCATGCACTGTCCCAAAGCTTTAGAGGGAATATTTATCTCAAGTAACGCCAAGGTTCAATGTGACACCTCGGTGTCTCTTCACGTGACCATGTCGCGTGACGTCCTGTCACGTGACTTCATTTCCCCCCCCCCTAACTTTTTAAGGGAGGTGGAAAGTGAAACGTCGACCAGACTCGCCGGTGGCCGGGACATGAAAACGTCGTTTATTGGCAAGCGCTCTCTTTTTACCTCCCGCGCCGGTGACGTATGTCCGGCACGGGCATGCGCTGGAACGCGCCGCTCCTGGTTGCGGTGACGCAGCCGTACGGCGATACAGCATCCCCTCCCCCCTATAAGTTCAAACGGTCCGGCGGCTTCCGCAGGCGCGTAGAGCGCCTGAGAGGAACCGGGTCTGCTGTGGGCGTCACCTCGGGATCGCCGTTGGTGGCGACCTCTCTTTCGTCGGTGCTGGGCGGCCTTGCTCCCACCTCCGACCGGCCGGCGACTCGACGTGCCTTGTCAGCGCCTTCCGGGGACCCTGAAGCGTCTCGAGGTCGCAGCTGGTCCAGGTGCCGTCTCTGTTGGCCGTCCGGTGTGCGTAGCGTGACCATGCGCCGACCCTCACTGGAGACCACCGTCCCCGATAGCCATCTCCGCCTCGGCTGGAACTGGCGTGACCAGACCGGCATTCCTGGCGAAAATGGCGGTGGTGTCGTGGCCGGGGCTTGCGGCTCGACCACGCTGTGCTGCGCTTCCTCGCCCCTCGAGAAGAAGCCGGTTAGCCTTGTCCTGGACCTGAAGCCTAACAACAACTCGGCTGGCGACTTGCCCTCTTTCATAGGGGTAGATCTGTAACGACACAAGAACCTGGAAATACGATCTTGCAACGAGCCTTCCCTGTTCTTCTTTAGCCCCTCCTTGATCGTGCGTACTGCCCGTTCGGCTAACCCGTTCGACTGAGGGTGGTAGGGCGCAGTGGTGCAATGACGTATATGGTTCCCTTGTAAAAATCGTGCCATCGCTGCACTTGAAAATTGCGGCCCATTATCGGAAACCACTGTTCGTGGCACTCCGAAACGCGCAAACAGTTCTCGGAGCACTCCAATTGTAGTCTCGGCCGAAGCTGTTTTGAGTAGTATGGCTTCAATCCACTTTGTTTCCGAGTCCACTAGTACTAGAACCATGTACCCTTCCAGTGGCCCCGCGAAATCCAAGTGCAAACGGGACCACCGTTGGTGGGTCTCCGGCCACTTGGAAGGAACCTGTGCCGCGGGCATCGTCCAACACTGTATACATGTCGAGCAGTTATTTACCAGCTTTTCGATATCTTTGTCTAGACCAGGATACCAATAGAGGGAGCGAGCCAGACGCTTCATCGCAGTCATTCCCGGGTGGGTATCATGCAGTTCCGTCAGCATTAACGCTCGCGCAGCTTCCGGTAGAACTACGCGATGCCCCCAGTAAACCAGGTCGTGGCTCACTGTGAGTTCATACCTGCGGCTGAAGTACGGCAGGAACTGGTGCTGCTCCGGGCGCAGGTGCGACGGCCATCCGGCGTAAATCCAGGCTTTTACTTGGCGAAGCAGGCTGTCCCGCGCAGTCAGGGTGGCCATCTGCTGGGCGGACATAGGTTGGTCGTCCCACCCCCGCGTGTACAGAACATATTCAGTGAGCACTTCACTGCTGCCCTCCTCCTGCGCCGGCAACGGGAGACGACTAAGAGCGTCTGCATTCCCATTGTGGTTTCCTTTTCGGTACTCGAGATCGTACTGGTAGGCTGCGAGTAGTAACGCCCAACGCTGTACTCTAGCCGCCGCCATTTGTGGAATTGCTCTTTCAGGGTGGAACAGCGCTGTCAGCGGCTTGTGGTCTGTGACGAGCGTAAAGCGGTTGCCGAACAGATAATCTCGAAACTTGGTAACTCCAAAAACCAACGCCAACGCCTCCTACTCGAGCTGTGAATAATTACGCTCTGCCTTCGTCAGCGTTCTCGACCGGAACGCTATGGGGTAGTCTTTCCCATGCATGCGATGTGACAACACTGCACCCAAGCCGTCTGGCGACGCGTCGCATTCTAGCCGTAACTGTTGCCGGGGGTTGTAGTGAACCAGGAACTTAGCTTCGGCCATAGCCTGCTTAGTCTTCCGGAAAGCCCTTTCCTGATCCCCGTCCCACTGCCATTGCGCTCCTTTTGCCAATAATCTATACAAAGGGGCCAAGGTTGTTGACAAGTTGGGCAAAAATTTGGCGTAATAGGTGACAAACCCAAGAAAAGACTTGAGCTGGCTTACCGAGGTCGGTCTTGGAGCTTCGGTCACTGCCTCGAGGTTGGTCCGCTCCGGATGAAGACCTTGGGCATCGATTCTGTGGCCCAAAAAGGACACTTGCTTCTCCCGGATACGGCACTTGGCTCGGTTTAACTTCAGGCCGTTTTCCCGTAGCCGCTGCAGCACCTGCCGGAGTGTCGACGTGTCGTGTTTCTTTTCTGCGATGACGATGTCATCCAAGTACACTTGCACCCTTGGGAGCCCTTGCAGGAGGGACTCGATGCGCCGTTGAAAAAGAGCCGGTGCGGACGCAATGCCGAAGGCCAGACGATTGTAACAGTACAAGCCTTGGTGCGTGTTCAGCACAGTCATCTTTCGAGCCTCTTCGTCAAGAGGAAGCTGATTGTACGCGTTGCGTAAGTCCAGCGTGGTGAAGAGTTCCCCCCCATATAACGCCGCAAAAATGTCGTCAATTTTAGGCAAGGGGTATCGCTCCAGGTGTGTAGCTGGATTTACCGTCAACTTAAAATCCCCGCACAGTCGTATCTCGCCGTTTTTCTTTGCCACCGGAACAACAGGTGTAGCCCATTCCGACACGCTGACCGGCGAGAGCACGCCGTCCTTCTCCAGGCGGTTGATTTCCGCCGACACCTTGTCGCGAACCGCGTAGGGCACCGGCCTCGCCTTACAAAAACGGGGTCGCGCATCTTCCTTCCTGTACAGCTTTACTGGTGGGCCCTGGCAGCACCCCAGCTTCTCTTCGAAAACGTCTCCAAATTCTTCCAGTAGGTCCTGCCCCTCTGCGCCGGCCTGCACCATGTTCACCCCAAGCGGTGCCCCAGTTTCTAGAAGCGGTGCCCCTGCGTCGTAAAACGCCCGCAGCGTATTCCTACCGCAAAGCAGCGGCCCTGGGCAGTTCACCACAATCAACGAGCTGCGCACCTGCGTCTGTCCGTACTGTACACTCATGGTGATCTTGCCGACAACGGGCAGCGGCCCCAGGAAGCACGACAAGCGTAGGGGGGTCGTTTCCAGGGCCGGCCACCGTTTACGGTGTCTTTTGAAAGCGCTCTCGGGAATTACGCTGACTGGGGAGCCCGTATCCAGAATCATTCGCAGCTTCCTGCCTTCCCATAGCAAATCCCGCTCTATCGGCGGCGTCGTGTCTTTGTTGGCTGTACTGTGAGCCACCAGGGCGTGAAGCATTTCCTCGCCACTCTCTTCCTCGGTGTTGATGTCCGCCAGCGCGTACGCACCTGGCTGGCTGGGCCGACTGCACTTGCACACCCTCGCCAGATGTCCCTTGGTGCCGCACCTGTGGCATATGGTCTTGCGGTGCCGGCAGTCGTCCTCGGAGTGGTTCGCGTCGCACCTCCAGCACCAGGCGCGTCGATTCGCACCGCTGGTTTCTTGTCTTGGGGGCCTCCGGTTACCCCGCCGACCTTGGACGAAATCCGTACCGCCGGCTGAGTCCTGGGGGGCCGTTCCCATTGCCCTGACGTTGTTATCGGCCATCTCAGACGCGATTACGAATTCCTCCGCCTCTTCCCGGCTCAACTTTTTACGCGTCAGCAAAACCCGTCGCGCTTCGTCATCCCGTATGCAGCAGACGATTCGGTCTCGCAGCATCCAGTCCAGGGTGTCGCCGAACTTGCAATGCTTCGCGAGCCGCCGCAACTCTGCCACAAAGTCTTGTACTTTCTCCCCCTCTTCCTGTTTCCGCACGAAGAACGAGTAGCTAGCTGCAATCTCGTTGGCTTGCGGGTCGTAGTGTTCTTCTAGGTAGCCAACCACGTCTGCGTAGGACAGGCTGTTGATGGACGCCGATTGACAGCGGCCTTGCAGAATTCGGACCACGTTGTCACTTAGGGAAGACACCAGCAACGCGCGACGTTTCGCCGCGTCCGTGATACCGTGACCCTCGAAGTACGCCTCCAACCGGACCCGGTATGTGCCCCAGGTGCCTGCCGTCTCGTCGAACTGCGGCGGGCGTGCCGCCATATCTGTTTACCCTCGTCGCCACTGAAACGTCGACCAGACTCGCCGGTGGCCGGGACATGAAAACGTCGTTTATTGGCAAGCGCTCTCTTTTTACCTCCCGCGCCGGTGACGTATGTCCGGCACGGGCATGCGCTGGAACGCGCCGCTCCTGGTTGCGGTGACGCAGCCGTACGGCGATACAGCAGAAAGGAAGTGAAGATTAAAGCCGGGAACACATTTGCGAAAAAAAGCCGAATTTTGTGCGAAAACCGCACACGAAAATCGCACGGCAGCTAGGCTCCTCCCCGTTTCCGAAAATCGGGAGCGGTTCGAAAGATCTGCAGCGCCAGATATTTTCGCACGGCGCCTCCGAATTCGGGGCGGAGGAGCTCGGTGAGCGAAAGCCCGGAACAGGACGGAACGAAAAGACACGATCGGCTCGCAACATGGCGGCTCACGCAGCTTCGGAAGCAGCGCAGGCAACATCGTATGCCATCCCTGCGTTCTCGTCTCAACCTTCGTAGAAAACCCCTTCTGTCTTTATCAAAGGGTGGTGGTACAAAGGCTCGCGTGGCATTCAACGAGGTTTTAATAGCTGAAGTTTTTAAGAGGCGCGAAATATGGGACGCCAGTTCGCCAGACCACGGGCCAGACCACCGCACAGCCTCCTGAAGTCGGAGCGCGAAAACCGCAGTGCATTGCGATTTCCGCGCCGCGCATTCCACCTCATATGGCTCGTCTTCCGAAAATCGCACGCTACGATTTTCGCAGCCTCCGATTTCTCTCCGATTATCGGTTCGTTTTTTCGCAAATGTGTTCCCGGCTTAATAAGCAATATGTTCTTTAGTCCGCAAAAGATCTGTTGAATGTCTCGTAGAAAAGAAATTGATACAATCACTCCTTCAATTCTTTTTGTTTGTGTTGTATTAGAGGTCTTTAAAGATAAAGCGTACTGGTGCTTTTCTTTAGGGTTCGATGAACATCTAGATGTATATATATATATATTGCGGTTGGATTTAAACAAAACTTTCGAACGTCACCTCATGGTTTTTTAAAGCAATAAAGACACGAAGGCGTAAATGAAATATAGCATAGGTAGAGGCTTCACGAGTGTGAATATTTTTTTCTTCTTCCAGATATAATCCGTTCAACTAATTTGACAGCGCAGTGGAAGTTCCATCCTTGATAAACCATTCGCGCGTTTCTGTATTTTTCCCCCGAGTGATCACGCTCCCGCGAATACACCCCCCCCCCCCCCCCCCCCCCCGCAGATAGAAAGGTCAGGCGATAAAAATATTCAAAAATCCGCAGCGGACATGATGACACACATTTTATTCGAGGGCTGCGACATTGTCAGGCGACACATGCTTTCGAACACACCGAACAGGCTGTGGCAGCACGTCACGTGGTATATATGTGACGTAACATAAGAATCGTGATGGATTACCAAAATTTTAAAATAGTACTAAAGTATCGTAATTTTCAAATAAAGTATTTAATGAGGAGAAAAAAAAATACTCCGTAGTAAATATTCCCCATTTTAAACAGTGTCGCCTCACAGGGGAGGGTAGCAAGTTCACGTATCCGGAACACGACAGGTTCGAATGACTTTTCTTTGAACCCAATTAGACTCCGCCCATTAGCATGACATGGATGCCGTACGCTCACCTAATGACAGTGATTAAAGCGTCCCTAATAATATTTCCAACAGAGTTCAGAAAGCGAAATAAAATATTATAACGCTGGGTTACAGGTGTGGACTTAGATGTTCCATGCTGGGGACGTTCTTTCACACGCTGTAAAATATAAAAGCACTAAAAACGAAAAAAAGTGAAAAATAAAGCATTGAAAAAAACGCCACAAGGCAAATTGGCTGTGCCCTTTAAACACATTTTGTTTCATTAAAGTGTTTCATTAAGACACCGAAGTGTATGCATGGTGCGGTGATCTTTTTATTACTTTGTATTTTAGCCTTTTGCTCTTGGAGCCCGTGGCTTCTGTACTCGTTGCTTTGCACGACACCGCTAAATACTGAAGAGCCACACTCGGGCGACATTTCGATCATGTAGCTTCTTATTCGTCTGCTATAAGTCATACTAAAGGTGATGTAAAATGGGTTTGTAGAGGTATTGAAGACGGCGTCGGAAATAAAGCTGACGCTGTTCATTCCCTGTTAATTTTACGGCCGTTCCATTGATCGTGCCCATTGGCCACGGAATATATCGCAGTGCCGATGTATTCCAGCAGAGCATGACACATTTCGATTTCATGATCATTCATTACAGCTGTTTTTGTTAGAAACGTTTTAGTTATCTTAATTTTGCTTCCCTAGAAACCAGTTCAAATAGACCAGCGATCCACGCGTCTGTGAGTTCGACGGGATCAACACCGAAAAGGCAGTGAACCAGACAGTCCATTCGGCCTCTAGCCATGTAGTAGGCTTTGGGAGTGGTCTCCCTGATAGCCAACACCATCTCTTGCACCACCTCGTTCACATCGTTCCTTGCGGTGCCATTGAGGAAGACAGGGCTCGAACGCTCGAACTTCAACAACTTCTGTGTGGTGACGCTTCGCTGCACATCGGCGGGAATGCTCTTGATGTCTGCCTCAAGCATGGTGTGGTTTATTTTCGTGCCAATCATTTTTGTTCTGAAAAAAGAAAGAAATAAGCTAGTGCCTTGTATTTCCTGGGGTATTCAATATTAGGTTGCAACATGTAATCTGAAGTGAAGCCTCCGAGTCTACCGTGAGCTTGCTACCTTTGCTAATACGTTTACGCACGCGCAGCCTAATCACGATGAAAGAAAACGCGCGCGAGAAAAGCGGAGCTTCTCCTATAGATATTACGCTGCAGCAGAGCATAGCGAGCATCATGTTTTAATAATAACAACCCTGTAAGTCAAGTATATCGTTGGTCATTTGAATAGGCCGCATCAATTGGTTTCTCAACTTAGGAAGCTAAGCTTTTGCAACAACGCGACAAAGGTGCGGCATTTTGTGCACCAAATTTTGAGTTGATTAACTTACGCGGGTGAACAGTCGAAAGTTAAGAACCTGATCTTGCTACCTGCAGCGTCCTCCTACTAAGAAAAATTATTCATGACGTAACATACAGCAAATCGAGACAGCTAAGAGCGAGGGCGCAGGCCACTGATCTCTGATAGCAGACCATTTTGTAGTCAATTGCTGATGGTTTTCTGGTGTAGCGCAATACTTTGTTGTGTTTTTTTTTATAAAAGACGTTTATGGCTACGGTAGAAACAAAGGTAGTATTTGCAGGGCTATTCGGCATATAGGCCATCAGCTGTGTCACCTCAGGCTACTGTATCAATCAGACGTCTTTTTTTCATATGAAGGGGGCCGTCCTTGATAGAGAACGCACGCTTTTAATATGTTTGTACTCTTCACTCAGGTGAGGTACTTATCGAAATTTCATAAAAAAACTGCTATATTTGTTCAGAAACTTAGCTCGATACATTTATAAACCAATCTATACGGTGAATGAAGGCCAACAATCAATTTGACTCACGCGGTGGTATAAGATGGAAATGCAAAAACCTAATTCTTTACGAAAAACAACAAGCTCTGCCCTGTCGGAAGCATACATAAGTAATTACCTTTCAACGCTCGTTCACCACCACTGGGCAAAGTATTATGAATAATTATGCCTTATACCTGTTTTTATGGCGTTACTTTGCCTGCGAAGCAAAGACAGGTCGCGAAGTGGAATTCAAAAGCCTGCTCCATAAACATATTGTATGTCTACCGCCACATCTGGAAATCTGCACTTTTTCGAAAAAGGAAACTAACAACCCACACCCAAGATATGGGATGCCGGCTTTAGCTTTTCTTGTATCTTGGGAAAATCTAACAACTAGAACACAATACAAAGAAAGTAAAAACGTCATGTTAACTGGTCGCCGCAGGTTTTCATTTTGTGATTGTGCGTTCATTGGGTGCAACTACAACCACCCTTTATTTTATTTTTTTGCATCATAATATTTGATCTAAATATCCAATTATGTACTCTATTCTTACCATTTACAAGCAGCCAGCCGTACATGACTTCAATAATTTCAAGCACAGAAACCATATGCGCAGAAACCATATTCACCTCAGATCAAGCCTTCGCACATGCGCAGTGCCGTGACGCCAGAGTGTTGAGTTGGTCCACTGGCAACGGTTTGATTTCGAACAATATCAGCACTGTATCAGCGCTCCGATTGTACAGATCACACCTTTTCCTACTTATACACACAATGCAGCGCTAACTTAGCTCCGAGCCAGC